ACGATATGGAGGTATAATTTTGATCACTTTCTACATGCGTTCGGAAACCTAGTCATGAACCCCATTTTCGAAATTATGTAGCCGGCATAATTTTCAAGTCCATCATATTCCTACTTCTTTGAATGTACTGATAAAATCTTCTGCTTTAAAAAAAATATTTCTTCTAGTGTTCAGGTAGCATGAATTTGATGAAATGTCATAATTTTATTAAAAGTCACATGGTTAACAACAACAACGAATGTCATTAAATGAAACTACCTTCTTTTTTGTATCATGATGGTACATAGGTACTTCGAATTTTCAGTACAAGCTTTTTCATTGAACTTTTTTTTTGTAAAATAATAATAGCTATGGTTAATTTTGTTGTTACAGTTAATAATTATGGTGCGATTCCAGATAAACTGCGTGCGTGTTTTCGAATATGTGGCCTGGAAAAATTAGACCCGCGCACATCTCTATTCCAGGGACGCAGTGAAATGATTAGTCAAAGAGATTAACTGGACTTTAAACACCTGTTATTATATTAAAAAAATATACTTTTGGGGACAGAAAGTGGCTCAACAAACACGATAACCACTCTTTTAATAACCACGTTTAGAGAGTTTGCCTTATCCTGGCCTGAGCAAATATGCCTTGTAATGGAAGTACATAGTTAAGACGTCTTCATATTCGGTTTCCTAAGCTAATCTAGTCTTGAGCAATGTACATATATAGTTAACATCATTTTTAGTAGTTATTGCATGAGGAGCTTCGCTTTGAAGGGATATGAATATTTAATTTTTTTTTCTTCAACGAAGAGTGGGGAAGTAAAAGAAGTAGCGTGCTTCGTCTGAGCAAAAGTGTGTTGTCATATGATTGTATTTTTTTCAAACAGGATACTGCTAGGTTTTTATGTATTTAGCATATATACCCACCCCTGTTTTATAAGTTCTGACTAAGATAGCAAACAGATTTTCATAAAAAAACTGAAAGACAGATGAAAATGTAGTTCGCAAGAGTTTTTGTTATTCTAGCACAAAATCCTTAGGAAAAAAGCTCTCTCATTCACTGCTCGTGGTGAAAAGCTATTTTGTGAGAAAGCACTTGTATGCCATTTAGCTGACGTCGATCTAACAGTCGCAATGACCGAGTGAGCAAAGGACAGGCGGCGTTCCATTCGAGAGATTCGTTGTCGAGTCCTTGGGCAGCGGATTTTTTTTTTCACTTTTTTAAATTATCATTTTTTTTAAATTATTTATTTATTTTTTTTTTTTTTTAGATTTTATTGTTATAAAAAGAAAAATATATATTTTTTAATTTCTTTAATTTTTAGAAACTTATTTTATTTAATTTTCCTTTTTAATGCAACTTTTTTTCTTTTGTTAATTTAACTTTCTTTTAACTTTTAGGTTTAATTAGAAAAATTTGTTTTTTATTTAATTAAATTTTTATCATCTTATTTTATTTTTTATGTTATTGTTTGCCTTTTAATTTATTTTTAATCTTTGGTTTTTGTTTTGAAAATAAAAATATTTTTTTTTACTATCATTTAATTTTTAATTACTGTCTGTTTTCTTTTTTGATTTAACTTTTTCTGCGCAAAATTTTATTGTTTTAAGAAGAAAAAACATATTTTTAATACAATTTTTAAAAATATTTTTATTTATTTTTGCTGTGTTTTCATTTATTCATTTCTTGTATTAATTAAATTTTCTTTTATTTATTAGTTTTTATTGTGTAAAAAAATATATAGATAGATAAGTTTAAAAATTTTAAAACAACTTTTAGCTAAGGCCCTATATTTACTTACGTAAATTTCCATAAGCACGTGCATAATTGTACGTGCGTTCATACATTAGTGCACAAATTTGTGTATGCGCGCAAAATCTGCACGCCTGCTGCTCCTGTCTCAATGCTGTTATTTTTTTCTGCCACATCTTGCATCAATCCAATTTCCTTTCATAACTATACACAAAAGTGAACACGCACGTATGTATGTTTGCATGAAATCCTCACATTTTGTCGCAAGTGTTGTTATGACAACAAACAGAAGCCGTCAACATGCTGCATTCAGTTATAAGTCTCGTATGAAAACACTACATACGCGCAAACATGTGACAGGTGACAGTAGGAAGTGGGAGCAATAAAAAGGATGGAGGATAAAAAAAAATTGTAAAGAAGCAATAAAAACTGTAAAATGCAATTTAAAAAACATGCGCCATCAACATATGTATTTCCAACGTTCTCGCTTTAGTATTTATCATGTTGTTGTTGTTGTTGTTACATTCACACATTCGTTTTTTTTTCTTAATCTGTTTATTTCCATGGCGAAGCATTTTCCCGCTGACCTGTCGTCATTGTGCTGCTTTGTCACACTTTTGTAGCAATATTTAACTAATTGTGACGCTTGCGAGGCCGACATACCAGTGGGAAAGTGATTTTATTTTATTACATATTTATTTATTTCTTTTGTTTATTTTTCGTTGAGTGCCTCGTAACCTATCGATGGCGATTGTTAAAGTTTTTCGAATTGTTAAGTTTTTAATGAAGCTCGAGTGTGCAGAAAAAATTTGCTACTCGATTTTATTCAGCATTCATTCGGTCCTCCTGCCTGCTGTTGGTTTCGCATCGCTCATACGCCATGGTCGCCCTTTAATTAACGGAATGGCCGATTTGGTAGCCTAGGAAACTGAACGGTTTGCGCTTCTATGCAATTACGGAATCCAATTTTTTGCCTCAAATTTATTGCGTGCTTCCCTTCGTTCGCTGCTAACTGAATGTGTCATTGGCTTGGGGCTATTTTTCATGCGTGCTTTTGTTACGCTGCAGCTAATTAGCACATTTCCCGCATGTTATAAAATATGCTTATTTTGTATTCATTATTCTGGCACTAATTTTAAAAGCTTTTAAAGTAATATATTGAATCTAGTAACTACTATAACTAAGTGATAGTGATGTTAATAAATAAGCCTAAAAATATGTGACGTCATAACTATAAGCAAAGTTTATATAAATTTAAATACAGTCAGCGTGACGTTTTGATGATTTTATTTATTTATAATTTCCACGACAAATTTTACTTATTTTTCATTCAATCAAAATAATTTATTTTTGTATACCGATTTCGATTTTCTTTTTGAATTTTTATTTAAATTTTAGTCGCTAAGAAAAGTTTTCAAAAATCAACGGTAATATTTAGCGACTTCAACCTTGCACTTTATTATACTAAAAATTACAAAATTTTTCAAAGAAATCGAGTTCGGTTAGTTCATAAAGTGTTTGTGGTTTGGACATATACAGTAAAACTTCACGAGGAATAGTTTTGTAGAGAATTTTAACCCACTAGCTCTATATTAAAAAAGTTCGGTTTGACGCCTTTTTTGGAAAGTCTGACTTAAGTGGTTCTTGTGTGGCTGCCAAAGAGTTAAAATGTCCAAGAAAATTATTTTCCAGAAAATTTCACCAATGATATATCCAGAAAAAAATTTTGAAAAAAGACCGTAAAGATCAACGAAAAAACAGAAAATAGGTACATATGTCCTCTTGATGTATGAAACAACTTTTCATTCATTTTGTTCATAAATATAACTCTTAACTCTTTTCGAAGGTAATGGCTTGGGCCATCAGTATCGCAATCATCGCTATCATCTATGTATATAGCGACCTCCCAAAGGCCATTTTATTCAGACTTTTCAATATTTCAATTTGAAATATTGCATTAGTCTACTATAAATAAACAAACATAATTATTTATATAGTTAAATGTTGAAGTAATTAGGCCAACATGAAAATATGTATATATCTATAAGTACGTATTTGCTTGTACTTATGTTTGTACATAATTATGTTAAAGCCGAGAAAAAGTTCATTACACATTCTGTCAATTTAAATTCTAATTAATCTTTTATAATACTTGATTTCCTTAAAATTAGTCTAGCTTGTCGTTCTGGAAAAATATTCCAAATACATATGTATGCATGTATACGTATCCAGGTGTATGTGCTTTTGTTGAGTAAGAACCCTGCAGAAAAAAATTTAAATTGATAAAAAATAACCTACTTGTAGTTAGCTTCTTTGCGGGATTTCTATGAAATATATAACTTGTAGTTAGCTACAAAAAGCTAACCTAAAACTAGTGCACAAATAATGCAGGAGTAAAGCTTGTTTTCTTTAAAGGCGTTTCTATTTAAATCTCCTGCACTTCGCAAATACTTTTTCGAATTGAGTACAAATAAAAGGGAGATCGAAATTTCATATTATCATTTGGAAGTTATGTCTGATGAAGTTCGAATATGGGACCACCTACAGCAGAATATAGAAACAAATTTGAAATGTTATAAAATAAATAAAGTAAATAAAAATATAAAAATAAAAGTAAAATATTCTGTTTGCCTATAGATATTTTATGTCCAAATGTAGTTAGTTACAAGTTAGTTGCATCAAATGCAGAGGTAACCACCCTTGACTATTTCGCGGCCATCGCCACAGAAATATAGTTAGCTTTCGTCAAAGAAAATATACAGATATCAAGTGATTTATAACTCCTTCCCAATCAACTTGAGGTTAGCTTATAGTTAGATACATTTCCTACAGGGTATATATTCGACACGTATGTACATACTTAAGCATAAAACGAGCATCTGTATGTAAACATATTTAGCTATGGCCAGTTCATATAATTACACTACGTATAACCACTTTCGGCTGTTTTCTGTTTTTTTTTTTTGTTGACTTTGGTAAATTTTCCCACTTCGAATCCTTTTTGCATTAATTTAATGACCCAAGCTCCATGCTTTGTTTTCGCTCTACTTAGTTGCCACCTTTTGTTCTGCCTGTGTGCGAGTGTGTATGTATGACCCTGTCTGCGCTTTCCTTATAACGGGTGATTTTTTTGAGGTTAGGATTTTCATGCATTAGTATT